CTACATCCTCATGCAAGTTGTATACCTTTAACCTAATAAGGGAGGCTAGTAAGCTTTCCATGGAAGAGTGAGGAAAAGCAGTTACATACAGTAGCTGTACTAGAGGCAGTTGCTGGGTCTCTATGTGCCTCACTGCAAAAAACAGTCCTGCATAAAATCTGGCAGCCCCAAAATTAGGGCAGGTGATTTGTTCTGAGCCACTGGATTTTAGGATTTAGAGCTTTGAGACCTTAGAGATCAGCTAGTCTCATTCCCTTATCTTACAGAAATGGAAAGTGAGGCCCAGAGAAGGGAAGAGACCTGTCCAGGGTGACCTAGATTATTACCTGCATGATAACAGAGTTTAGATTCAACTCTGTCTTTTTACCATATTGGGAAAAAGATGCCTTGATCATCAGAGACACTCAACAAATACCCAAATTGTATCAAAGTGTTATTTATTGCCGACACAATTCACTAATAATAATAACTGACACTTATATCATGTTTTAATGCTTATTAAGCACTTTGTTCCAACAGTTCTGTGAGGCAGGAAGTGTAAACTTTATTATACCTATTTTACAGATGATGAACAGGTTCAGAGATATTATGTCATAAGCCTACAGAATCATAGATTTAGAGCTGGAGGGAACTGTAATGGGCGTTTAGCCTTTGGACCGTAAATGGACGTTAGAGGCCATCTAATTCAATCCCTCCATTTGACAGATGAGAAAACGGAGGTCCAGAGAGTTTAAATGACTTTTAAGATCACACAGGTAGTAAACAAAAGATGCAGGATGTCAATCTAGGTCCCCTGATCCCAGAGACAAACACACTTCTGCTGTATCCTATTTTCTTGCCATTCATTTCATAGTGGAGCAAACTGATGTCAAGAGAGCAAGACAGACAAGCAGTAAGTGGCAGTAATCTAGGTGTGTTGAGTCCATATCCAAAGTACAGCAAGTGCCAGAACAAGGACTTGAACCTAGGTCTTCTGATTCAATGTACTGTCTTCCATCCCACTAGACCGGGGAGGGGAACCTGCGGCCTTGAGGCCATGTGGGACTTCAGTCAAAGGGCTGCACTTGAGGACCCAGAGTGCCACATATGGCCTTGAGGCTGCAGGTTCCTCACCCCCTGCACTAGATTATCACACTATCACACTGCTGCTGTATGTTATAGTTGGAGAAGAATTTCTAAAGCTTCTACTTCTTTTTTTTATTAATTTATTTTGAATTATCAACAATCACTTCCATAAGCTTTTGAGTTTTAAATTTTTCTCCCCCACCTTCCCCACCTCCCTACCTAAGATGGCATGCAATCTGACATAGGCTATACATATACATTCCTATTAAACATATTGTCACATTAGTGATGTGGTAAGGAAGGATTAGAACTAATAGCAGGACCCACCAGAAAGAGGAAACAAAACACAACAGAAGAAAAAAACAGAAAATAGTATGCTTTGATTCGCATTCAAACTCCATAGTTCTTTCTTTGGATGTGGATAGCATTTTCCATCATGAGGCCTTTGGAGATGTCTTAGATCTTTGTATTGCTGACAAGAGTTAAGTCTATCAATATTAGTCATTGCAAAATGTGGCTGTTATTGTGTACAATGTTCTCTTGGTTCTGCTCACTTCACTCAGCATCAGACCATACGAGTCTTTCCGGATTTTCCTGAAGTCATAAAGCTTCTACTTCTTAATCTTAGTGGATCCCCTTTACCTCTTATATATTCCACCTCCTCTTTTCCCTTTCTTCTCCCAATCCAAATATTGTAAAGGATGGCTTCTTTTTATATACATATCCTGTATATTTCTTTCTTTTAAGGCTTATTTTTATTCTGAACTATGCAAACACTAACTAAAATGAGCATTTCCATTTATGTAGCAGAATTTAAAAAGGAGGAAAATGAAAGACATGGAACTGTGAATCTCTATCTTCTTTCCCTCACTTCTTTTCTTCCTGTCCCCACCTTAGCCATAACCTCACTACTTTTGCCATTCATCTCTAACTGAAAAACAACAATAAAAAAATCTTTGTAAAATACATATGTATATGTGTGTGTATGTGTGTGTATGTGTGTGTATGAACACATACACACATAGTTAAGCAGGATAAATTCCCACATTGGTCATATCTTAAAATGTTCCCACATGCCTTTTAATGGGGGGATGTGCTACTATCACAGAACAGAGGAAGAGGAAATACCATCAGCTTTGTAAATACTCTTGGCCTCCTTCTGGCCTTTTAGTCATTCTTTTCTTACAAAATTATTAATGTTTTTATTATTTTGGCTACAAAAGAGATTACCAAAGATAGGCTCTGATTTTGAACACCATGATTTTGGAGTTAGAGAAAACCAAAGTCTTTAGCTATATCTGTCACCAGGTACTGAGGCAGTGGTGTCTCTCTCTCTCTCTCTCTCTCTGTTTGACAATGGCTGGCTAATCATACAACTGCAGGAGCTTGAAATGTCAGTGTTGGAAGAAAATTTAGAGGTCAACTAAGTCAACTCATTGCCAAATGCATGAAATTCTTGTGAGATCCTTGACCAGTGGTGAATGGCACAGTAAAAAGCAGCATTATCTCTGTCTGGAGTCAGGGGAACTGGGTTCAAATACAGCCCCTGTTACTTCCTGTGTCACCCTGAGAAAAACACTTAAGCTTCTTGGACCTCAGCTTTATCAGCTGTAAAAGGAAGAGGCTGTTCTATCTTTCTTTTTCTTCTCTTTCTTTCTTTTTTTTTTTTTTTTTTTGTTGAGGCAGTCCGAGTTAAGTGACTTACCCAGGGGCACATAGCTAGTAAGTATCTAAGGTTGAGATTTGAACTCAGATCCTCCCAACTCCAGGGCTAGTGCTGTATCCAGTGCACCACTTAGCTTCCCTAAAAAAAGCTGGTCTAGAATGACTTTAGCTCTAGTCTATGATCCTATGCTTGCCCATGACTTGAATATTCCTAGTGTTTGAGAACCTGCCATCTTAAATTTCATTTTCAGGCATCCCTAGTCACTGGGAAGTTTCTTCCTTCTATTGAAGCAAATCTGCCTTCCTCTAACTTTCACAATTAGGATATAAATCTTAATTCTGCCCTTTGGACCTAACGAGACTATCTAATTTCTCTTTTCCATGATAGCCTTGTAAATATTTAAAAGCAGTAATTAACATCTCTCTGTGTCTTCTATTATTCCAGCTACATATCACCAGTTCCTTCAGCTAATTTTCACAGTATATTTTCATGGCCACTTATCATTCTAGCCATCCTGCTCTGGACACCTTCCAGATTTGCAAATATAGCAGCTTGAAGTGGACACAACATGTCCAATGTGTGATCTGATCAATACGGAGAGTACAGCCTCATGACCATCCCCGCCTTATTCTGGACTCTGAACCTACTGAAAACACGAATCACAGTAATATTCTTATGGGGAGTGGTATGTTCCTCTCCCAAGATCATAGAAAAAGAGAGTGGTATTAAAAAGAATGCGGCACAGTTTAAACATGTACAAAAACTATATAATGGACTGAGAATGCAGGATTGGGCTGGACAGACCTGAGACAATGGGATTTTCTTTTCTCTGCTCTAGTCTTGTGATTTCATGGTGTGTGAGGGAATGCTTGACAAGGATGGGGAACCTGTGGCCTCGAGGCTACGTGTGGCCCCTTAGGTCCTCAAGTGCGGCCCTTTGACTGAATCCAAACTTCACAGGACAAATCCTTAAGGGAGCCACAGGTTCCCCACCCCTGGTAGAAGCTCTCTCCATTGATGCCTTTCTTGTAACTTTTAGTATTAGGGACCAACATGGCTTCTAAGAGATGATGTAACTTGTTCATGATCACAGAGCACTTAGTACATGTCAGAAATAGAGCTTGACCCCAGGTCTTCCTGACTCCACGGGCAGCCTTCTCACCACTCTGCCAATGTGATAGCCAATTGTAATTCAACTCAATGAATACTTATTAAGACTCTAGGCTCCTTTTCCCCTGGCTGGAAGACTGGATCCCACACAATGCCTGGAGTCACAGTGAAGGATGCCAACTAGTAGGAGTTTTCTGGCCCCTGGCTGCCTTTCTCAAAAAGTCAGGAAATGGGGTTAGCTAGATGGTACAGTGGGTAGAGCACTGGCCCTGGAATCAGAAGTATTTGAGTTCAAATCTGGCCTCAAATACTTACTAGCTGTGTGACCTTAGGCAAGTCACTTACCGGCGAATGCCTCAAAAAAAAAAATCAGGGAAGCTGAAAATCTCCTAACGAGTAGACATAGTCAAATTGGTTAAACACAAGGGGTTGGTGACCTATGATAAGAACTGGTTGTACATATGGGCTTCCTCCATGGCCTGTTACCTGTACCTCCGAGGAGGTGCAGGTTTGAGATTCACGGCCAAGATATACAGTGGACACCAGTAAAATGGGGTCATGCCCAGTCACTTCAGCAGAGGCTCCAAGAGTATGACCCAAATGGTCCTATAAGCCCTGGAAGGCCTCAAGATGATGGAGAAAGACCAGGATGGGGACCAGAAGCTGATACCTCAGAGACACAGAGAGACCATTACCAGCCAGGTGGCAGCTGCCAGCAAGAAATATTAGGACAAACCACATTGGATTCATTAATAAATTGCCCTGTTGGTTAAAAAAAAAAATAGGCTCTGCACCTTAGCACTGTGCTAGGCTCTGGAGGAAGTTTGAAGTTCAGATAAGATCCAGTCCCTGCCATCATTGAGCTTATAACTGTAGGGTCATAGGATCATTGATTTTGAGCTGGAAGGGGCCTGAGAAGCCATTTGGACTCCCCCCCCTCCCATTTTACAGATGAGGAAATTGAGACTCAGAAAGAATAAGCAATTTGACAATGGATATGCAGTTAGTAAGCAAAAAAACCAGGATTTGAATTTAAGTCTTCCTGTCTCCAAGTCCATTTATATCATCCATTATGTGTGTCATGGCATACCTAAGGCCTATATCTGAGCACCAAGCAGGAAAACACAGCTACCTCTATCAGGGAACCTGGTTGACTTACCGGCATGGCAAGATTCGCACAACGTCATTCGGTTTGTAGCCTTCGATACAAACTGCACAGTTATCAAAGTCAGGCTCAGTTTCCTACAACAAAGAGAGAACAGATCAACCTGTTTCCTTTGCTTAGTTAATCTTCTTTTGTAGATACCTGAATTATATATTAAGCCAAGTTATTGTGGGCCATTGACTCCATTCTACAATGGATCTTCAAAAGGAGGGGCAAACCTCTCAGGGGGGCCTGGGCTGGTTTTCTGAATTGGCAATTTATCATATATGTGCTTCTTCCATCCTTCAACATTTACCCCCAGAGCCCTTAAGTTCTACTCATTGCCAGTGTTTTTATAATGAAACCACTGTGCCTACTATAAATCAACTTTGTTATATGCTGGTCTTGTGGATGCTTGCATGGCTATTCATTTTCCCTATGCTCTTCTTGGGCAGAGCCAGGAAGTGACCACTTTAGCACAGGTTTACCCTGAAAATGACAGCGGAGGAACTTACCTTGTCACCCTTCTTGATGGTCCTGACCTGGAGCTTGCTGATGGCTTTCTTTGCAGCATCTCCCAGACGACGCTGAAAAAGGTAAAAGCTGCTTATTAGTCATTAAGATACAGACCCGTAGGCTGGTTATTCACAATGTTCTTAAATAAACTGGGGCCAGCTGCCATGAAATCACAAAGAGAATGAAAAAGGCAAAATGCAGGGAGAGGGGAGGAAATAGTTCCTATGAAGAATGGCCGCATTGAGGGAAAGACTAAAGGTAGCATCTAATAAACACTCTACAGAGATTTGAGTCCTGTTAGGTTATGTGCACTAGAACGGAATATGAGACAGGAAGGTGCTGGCCCTCAGTGATTCCAAATCCAGTGGACACCCACACAAGCAAAATCAAGTGGGAAGATGAGCAGTTACTGGGCTAATCTGGGCTGTGAGGTGAGCTAATTGGGATAACAAGGCCATCCCAACCACTTTTCTTTAATAGCAGGGGTTTTTGCTTGATTGTCCACATAGTCGTCTGAACTCTTCATTTTAATTGTCTTAGGTAGATACAGTCTTGGAGTGAATCCAGTGTCTACTGTCCCACTTCCTGGGTATTCCAATTTGTTTTCCATTTTATTTTAGATCGGGAAAGTGTTCATCATAGAGCCACAGGACATCAGAGCTGGAAGAGACCTTAACACTTTTCTAGGAAAACTCTCGATTTTAAAGATGGAGAATGAGATTCAGGTTGAGTAAGTTATTCAGGGCCAAACATTGCCAGGGCAATGACCTAGTATCCAGGCCCTGGAACCTCACTAGTCCAGTGACTGCTCTCATAAGCAACAAAGTGTGTTGACTGGGCCTTTCTTGACACCAGTCCTGGGTGACTTTCACGTCATTGCCTCATTCTTGTTCTTCTCCTACTACTCTGGCCAATCCTTCTTTGCCTCCATCTCCTGCACCATCTCTTTATTCTCATCCTATTCTCCATACTCCATGAAGGAATTGCTCAAGCGTTTCAGACTTTGCTTTGATCTCTCTCTACCATCTCTTCTCCAAGAGTCCTTATTCACTTCAACTCTCTACAAATGACTTCTATTTGTTAGTTCTGACTTCCCTATTGAACTCTTGTACTGTATTTCCAACTGTGGAATGGTAGAGAGAGTACTAGACTTGGAGTCAGGAAGACCTAGTCTGAATCTCATCTCTGTTGCTTCGTATACATGCTTTGTTACCATGGGCAAGAGACAAACTCTGAGCCCAGATTTTCTCATCTCTAACATGAGAATATATCATAACAGTTACAACACCTACCTAAAAGGATTGTCGTTGGACTCGTAAAATAACGTAATACTTTGTAAATTTTCAAGGTCCATTATCGATGTCAGTTATTATTATTATTTTATCTCCATAAACATAAATGAAAAATTAGTCATTGTCAAGAGGACTATCCCTGCCACCACCAATCCTAACTGCTAACCAACAGCCACTAACAGGGAGCTAAGCCCGAGAGACCTGGGAATAGCAGAACTCTCTAGACCATAGGCCTGTAGTCATCTTCTGGGGGAGCAACCCCTCTAGGATAGGGGCCTGCCACCAACCCTGACCCCACCAATACCAACTTCTACAAGCCATTCTAGATGAAGAATCAAATTACCTTGAGGTGGAATCAGGGGTGGCATTGCCAGACAGGCCAAATCATTACTACCATCTTAACCACCAACTCCCCTCACACCTCAGTGGCAACAGCCTAAGACTTTTCAACTGATCAATCAACACATATTCATTAAGCAACTGCTATCTGCTATGTACCATGTAGGCACTGGGGATATAAATACAAAGAATAAAACAATCCCTCATTGCAAGGAGTTTATATTCTTATGGGGAAGAAAATGGATATACATAAAAATATATACAACATAAATAACAAACTAATAAATACTAATATATACAAAGTAATTAAAACAAGGCTTTTTGGGATGGAGGGCACTAGGGATTAGGAGAGTTGGGCAAGGCTACATCTTAAAAGAAGAGAGGGATTCTATGACAGAGGTAAGGAAAAAATGCCTTACATGAATGGGAGATAGCAACAGTCCTGGAAATGACCGTGGCACCCTCTTCTCTCCACCTTACTACTCCACTGCCACCCAGACCATTAGCCCTATTTTCAACTCAGCCTCCACAGTCAATATCCATGGAAGCAAGACACTGCCTCCTGGCAACTGCCCCAATTACTGAAGACCCGGAAAAGAAACTGATCACCATCAAAATCCTTGTTACTGTCAAATAGCTAAACATTGCAAACAGATGTGGCAATAACACTAAAGAAGATACATTGCCATCTGCCTTGCTGCTCTACCCTAGGGACCATTGGATGCTTCTACCCAACTTGTTGTTGAAACCTTCTATATGTGTTCTCTCCCCCTATTACAATGTTCGATCTTTGAGAGTAGGGATTGTCATTCTTTTTCTATTCTTCGTGCTTAGCACATTGCTAAGTGCATTTTTAAAAGTCATCATTATTATTACTATCTTTACCCAAATGTAAGAATGTTCTGTGGTTTTCTGGGAAAAAATATATGTAGGAAACATTTTTCACTTTACTCTGCATTATTAAGTTTTACTCCGTCATGCTCTTAAGTCTACACAACCAATGAAACAATAAATCAAGCCCTGATGTATAGTGTTTACTGATTTCCAAAGTGTAAATGATTTCACCAAAAATTTAACAATAGGCCCTTGTCTAGATGTAATGCTGGACCTGCAAACTCAGCATGCTCCAAACTTACACTTACATCATTTCCAACCCTTCTCCCCCCTAACTCGTAATCAGCCCTTACTCTTGGCTTCATTATTTCCGTTAAAGAGGCCACCATTCTCCAAGTCATCCATGCTCAAGATTTGGAGGCCATCCTTGGTTTGTTATTCTCTCTTGTCCTTGGCTTCCAAACTGTAGCCAAATCCTCCTGATTCTACCTCTGCAATGTCTCACATTCACCTTTATCTTTCTGTTTCCATTGCCCCTACTATAACTCAGGCCCCTATTATCTTTTTTGTTCTTTTTTTCTTTTTTGGTGAGGCAGTTGGGGTTAAGTGACTTGCCCAGGGTCATACAGCTAGTAAGTGTCAAGCAGCTGAGACTGGATTTGAACTCAGGTCCTCCTGACTTCAAGATCAGAGCTCTATCTACTGCACCACCTAGCTGCAACCCCATTACCTTTTACTTGGATTGGCCTATCCAGTCTTCCTACCTCTAATCTCTTTTCTCTTTCAATCCATCAAGAATAGTCATGGAAGATTCATTGGATCATGTAATTTCCCTGCTAAAACAAGCAAACAAAAAACAACCCTTCAATGGATCCATGTTTCCTATAAGAATAAAGTTCCCACTTCTCAGCCTATCATTCAAGTACTCTACAATATGAACTCAACTCGTCTGTTTGGCTTTATCTCTCAATGATCCCCTGGATATATTCTGTACTTTATTCAACATGAACTACTTGCTGTTCTGTGAAAAAGCCCTTCATTTCTCTGCCTCTGTGACTATGTGTCTGGAATGGCAATTCTGGGCATCACCGATAGTTGAAACTCTTCCCATATTTCAAAGAGCAGCTCAACTCTTCCCCTAAGAAGTCAGACATGGATTCTGCCACTTGGATGTGATCTCTCCCACCTCTGACTTACTTAATCCTCTGTTGATACCGTTAGTATTTTTATGATTTGTGCTTATTCTAGTGAGAGGCATATGGCATGGTAGATAAAGGGCTGGTCTTGGAATAGTGAAAAACTGGGTTCAAGTCCTGCTATGCCCCTCCGGATATGTGTCTCCATGTCAGTGACATTGAATAAGTCTCTAGGATGGTAAGTCATGAGCAAGTTGTCCATCTGCTTTGGGGTAGAATGTTTCCATGGTGCAATCACAGATCTAGACAATACAAAACAAAAACCAAATTCGCGTATTTATCTTACCTTCCTCAGCCCCAAGCTATATGTTAAAAAATTCTTCTGACTCAGTAATACAATTTATTCATCTTCATTTCCCTAGTAGTACCTAATAATAATAGGGATAGGGGTTGGGACTAGATCCATCATTTCAGTGATAGAGGGAATTCCCTATTGAGGGAATTCTTTGTCAGTGCTAAAGCCAACTCTCTAAGGCTACCAGTTGCACAGTTTGTGTTGACCAGCCATGGTAGAGTTTCCTCTGCCTCTTGCCCAGGAATAGTATATGAGTCAGAAGTAGGATTGGAGCCGGTGTCTTCCTAGCTCTGAGTGGCAGCTAGGTAGTATAGTGGATAGAAGAGCGTTAGACAGAATCAGGAAGACCCTAGTTCCAGTTCTGCCTCAGACACTTACTAGTTGTGTGACTGGACAAGTCACTCTATATCTCTCAGCCTCAGTTTCCTCATCTGTAAAAAGGAGATAATAATAGACCCTATTTAACAGGGTTATTGTGATGATCAAATGATGTGACTTATGTAAAGCATTTTGCAAACCTTACAAACAACCTTATGTTGTTATTATTATCCAAAGCCAACTCTAGTCAAATCTAGCATGCCATGCTGCCTCTCACATGGGTACACACATTACAGACAATTAATAAATATTTGTTGAATTGAAATACTAGCACCCCAAATAAAACTATGTGCAACCTGCCCGAGAAGAGGGTCTGCTCATGACTTTCTTTTTTAAAACATTTTAGCTCTTACGAGATACAGAGAAAAACAGTTTTGATGAAGGTTTGATGCAGAGGGATTCATCGACCAACTAAGAATTTAACATGAAGATAGAGAAGATAGACAGCTAGTGGAAGATGAACATAAAAGTATGCCAAAATGCTGGAGTAGTGTCAGGGGTGCTAAAATTTACAAACCACCTGAGGCTGGCCATGATTACTGAGGATGACTAAAAGGGTTTTGGTGTTGTGAAGAACAAATGAGTTACTGTGTGTATAATGCTTTTGTTGTTTAGTCATTTTAGTCATGTTTGACTCTTCATGACTCCATTTGGGGTTTTCTTGGCAAAGACACTGGAGTGGTTTGCTATTTCCTTCTCCAGCTCATTTTAGAGATGAGGAACTGAAGCAAACAGGG